TCTTCTTCTTCTTCTTCTTCTTCTTCTCCTCCTCCTCCTTCTCATCCTCCTCCTTCTCATCCTCCTCCTCCATCATGGCCAGATGTCATGCACTGATCTCATCGAATGTTGGAGTTCAATGAACAAACAGTTCTTCTGATTCTGCAACAAACTTGAACACGTTCATCTCTGAGCAGACTTGAGGTCACCTTTCAGCAGCTTGCTAATGTTTCAGATGGCAGTTGCTTTGTGTTCATGTGAGGATAATCAATAACAGTTTAACAAACTGCTATCGTGTTTAACATGAATAATGTAGGTGGTGTTTTTAATTTGAGTTTCTCAGAGTTCCTTTTCATGGATCACAGGCTATAGAAATTCATCATTGGAGAGCTGCTCTTATTAACAAATGGAATCTGTTAAACAGTGTTTGAATGTAAGAGGCTTTTATTTTTTTTGGTCCCCGCCCTAACTTCCGCGCTGCCCTCATCTCAAACTCCTCAGATGGAGCCTGATCGGTTCATAACAGCAGCTGTAAAGTGATTCTTCAGCCTTTGATTGGCTTCATTTACATAACACCTTAGCAGGGGAGCTGAAGCGGAGCAGCAGGGGCATTTGTCAGCCCTGGATTAGCATTTTATTCACTCCGTGCATCACCATCACATTCTGATCACAAGAGAAGCTCTGGCAGTTAAAATATACATCAGCCTGGTTAGTGAGAGACCTGTTGATGTGTTGGTAGTCGTCCTCAACGTTGAGATGCAGCAGATAGCACATGGTGAAGAGCTGTTCAGACGTGAGCAGAGTGCACAAATAGAAGGGATTGTTCTATTTTTTTACAAGAGGAATGAGTTTATTTGCCCTCGATTGAAGCATCGAGGGTGAAATCAAATTGAGTGCAGCTGTAAGTGACCAAACATGGACTGAATGTGTCGCAACGAAAAACAAATTAATCCCAGCGAGCAGAAACCAAGTGAATATTGTAGCTTTATAGACCCATGTTACTGCGGCCAGCAGTACATGTACCATTGGGTTAACAATCCTCCTGCTGGGCAGGCCGATACCAACAGGCAGCAACAGTCCAACAAAAAAAAAAGAATCTTATTAATGTTAAAATACTACAATTTTGTGTTTCAGATGCCACCCGTCCACAGGAAGGAACGTTTAATAAAATAAAATTTAAAATACTTTTATGTTTGACTGAACAGATTTATCTTGTTTTTCTAACTTAAAGGCCCCGTGTGTGAAATCCATTGAAATCATGATGAAAACATGTGACTCTTTTGCGCCGTGCAGTTCAGAGAAAGTATTCCAGCTACGGTGGCTCACTCACGAGTTTGACTGTATAATCAATTTCCAACCTGTGCAGCCTAACCCACACAAAACTTTAAACAAGCTACTCCACCACTTAAAAAAGCATTTATAATTACGACTGTTTTATCAACCTACCAGTTCTGAAGGAAGCAAGCTAGTTCTGTTCTTGAAGCTAAGCTGCAGGGTAAATCTGATACACTTTATGACAGAAATCACACATTTTTAGTATTTCCACCCTAAAGGAGACTTTTGTTAAAAGGAAACTGCATTTATTTATTTATTTTTGTTTGTTTCTTGTTGATTGAAGAAGGCAAATTGTGTCGAAGCTAATTTTATGAAGGCATGTTGATTGACAAATGACCTTTGATTCTTGAGGTTAGAGATCATACAATTATTATAATGTTTTTAAAAAGGTATATATTCACTTTAGCCAACTAGTCCTCACTTGTTCATTAGATCTGAGGAATGAGGGCTGTTGTTTCTCCCTATGACCACATGAAGTTCACAACTGATCTTGTCTTGTGACAACTTTTTACTACTGAACCTATTGAACATATCTCTACAAAAACATCTGGTGCAGATGAGTTTAGCACTCACTCAGCAGCTCTCACAACTGGAAGAGAAACTGGCTGAAAACGTTCCTGAGGATCATAGAGAAGGATTCATGCAGAGTTCAGACCCCTGATGTTTATGTATTTGGCAGAGACTTTTTTCCAAAGTAACTTACTAAGGACAATGTGACAACGTAGTTACCACTGAGGTGGAGAACACTAGTCAGAATGTCAGAGGTGACAGAGTGCAGTCAAAGAAGGATGTGCACAAAGAGAGTGTTAAACAACTTAATTCACCACTTTGACATTATACTAGCCACAATATTATACCAAAACATATTATGGTATTAGAGAGGTCCTGTTCAGACCACGTGGTTCTGGTTTTGATGTATTAATCATTCATGATATTTACAGAGTGTGCAGGGAGAGGTGGGGGGTGAGGAAGTGAATGACAGGCGCTGGTGCTTGGCTTCCTGTGTTGCTATGGTTACATATTTATCTCAGACCATTACGCTTGATAATAACATGATCATCACACAACTTTACATTTCTTACTAAAACAATTTGCTGAAAAAAATCCCTTTTAAATCATTGAAGACACACACACACACACACACACACACACACACACACACCTAGGGCTTATTGGGGAAAAGTGATTGGTCACTGATCAGAAGGTGAGCCGTTTGACCTCAGGTCCTATCAAGCCCAGTGTTGAAGTCTCCTTGGGCGAGGTATTGAACCCTGAAAGTTACCCAATGAGTGCTGCACCATGCTGCACTATGGGAGTCCACTGCTCCTCCGTGATGGGTCAGATACAAGGCAGCTTTATTTATATAGCACATTTGTAACACAGGGCAATTCAATTTGCTTTACAATTAGCATTAAATGGCACAACAACAAACATGAGAACACAAATTAAAATATACACAAATACAATTATAATTTAGAGCAAAAAGGAAACGACAGGATTAAGGTTGAGATATTACATCACAGATAGGGCTGCACAATATATCGTAAATATATCGTTATCGCGATATCAGCATGCACAATATGCATATCGCAAAGAACAGATAAATATCACAATGAATGGTCAGCTCAAATGTTTGCTACACATGATGCATTCTGTCAAACGAAGTATCATGTTTTTTTTAACAAATCAAATAGAGCTCTTCATTCATTTGGCCAATCGGGTGGGTTCTCATAGGTCAGAGTCCCGCCCCCCGAGGCGAACGGCACATAATTTAGATGGTTAGCAAACACCTGAGTTAGCTTTGTTCTGCTCTTTTGCTGATTCTGCTTTTCCCGGGATCCACTGATCACCTTTTCTTGCTCATTTTCTTTTTCCCTTTCCTCACATTTTCAGCTTTGCTCATTGTTTCTTTGATTTTTGTTCCTGAGTTAAGTTTTTATTTATCGCAAGTAATATCGTCATCGCAATATTAATCATTGTTATCGAATAGCGCAGGTTTTCCTAATATCGTGCAGCCCTAATCACAGATTACAGTGGAGATGATGCAGCATAAGAAACTTCATTCAAAGGCCGATTAGGGTTTTACGTTTTGATTTAAACAACACTAGAGGAATAATTTCTACAGTGGGATAAATACTAGATGGAGGTGAGGTCACTAGTTTTATTGAGCAGATTAGCAGCAACATAAGGAGAGAACTAAACGTCATCATGACTAAAATGTGTTTTAAATGTTTTCTTTTTTTTGTGTTGATCATAAACGTAAACACACAGTTCTGTTTGAGACCATCTGCTGGGAATGATTATCTAAAGATTAAGTTAAATAATTCAGCTAACTGATTGCATGTTTGATTTTTGTTGTTGAGGAAATACCAGTTGTTTTCCGCCTCTCTTTAAATATTTAGCTGAAATCCACTTTCATCATCCTATCTTAATTAAGCCTTTCTCAGTTCACCAGCTTTATAGGAGGAAGCTGAGAAAGGGGCTGCTGCTGCTGCTAATGGACAAAGCCTACTCCCCACCCCACTCACTTCGGCATGCCTTGCTCAAAGGGGCTCTGGAGAAATTGAACTGCGGCTGGCGCAGAGCTCTGCAAATTGCTTTCAAGCTGTTCCTCTTGTGTTGTTCCAGTGCTTGAGCTCAAGAAAAGGATGGATTCTTTTTTGCTCTTCAACAAATTTCTCTGAAGAGTGATGGGACACACTCAGCGAGGCGGATGAGGAGCAGCAGACAGAAACACAGCCAGCTTTATTTATATTATAACTAACAGTGTCTTTGAGTAAAGAACAAGTAAAATGATTTATTGAAATAATTTTATTTAAATAGCACTTTTAAATTTGAACATTTAAACAGACATTGCCCCAAAATGCTGCACATAGGCACTAAAAGTAAGAGCTTTAAAACTACTAAAAACGTTGACTGAATCATTACAATAAGGACACACTTCAAAAAACAGGTTCCTCTTACTTTCGTAGCCACATGAGTTCTCGGTGGATTCGGGGGAGCTAGATTAACCTTTACCGACCTTCACTAACATGTCATGTCAGTTCAGATCTAATAAACAAATGCTGTCATTAGACTTCAGAAAATATATGTTTCTTTCAAATGCCGTCATCAAGACTGTGACTCTGCTTTAGAGTTTTTTTTAATCAGTTTCTCAGCTGTTTTACAAGCTGATGCTCTGGCTCATCCCTGCAGGATCTCGGAGAATTTCTTCTAAATGACAGATGGATCGATCGAAAGGAGAATTCAGGGAGAAAATTCTTCCGTTTCACGTAGAAGAGAGGACAGATGAAATAATGCAACTCGAGTAAAAAGTTTCAGGAGTAGAACGTGTCAGGCAGTGCTTGGAACAAGCAGGCTGTCAGTGGTAATAGACAGAGATAGAGGGAGAGGAGAAGTGAGGTATGTTCGGTCCAAACAACCTGTCACCAGCTAGAACAGCGCAGAGCTCACCACAGCTGCCTGCTCTGAGGGAAGAGGAGAAAGAACCACATCAGAGGAACAGCCTGTAAGCGGTCAGGTGGGCTGATGCAGTCTGCTTAAGGCCTGCAACAGATGGTTTAGGGGCAGAGGAGGTGGTTCTTCTGAGGACGGGTCACTGAAGACCCACTAAAGTCAGAACCGCAAGTTTTCCTTTGATGTTTTTTTTATTTCTGTTTATTTGATCATTTGATGTTTTCTCTCAGATATCCGTGGCCTGCAGGGTTTCCTGGATCAGACGTCCCGTCAGGGTGTTGACGTTGCTCTGCAGAGGGTGGACCGGAACATCAGCAAAGTCTTCACCAACCTGTTCACCACCATGAGGACCGAGGAGCTGAACCGGTACCGAGACACGCTACGCAGAGCCATCCTGCTGCTCAGCCCCCAGGGGGCGCACTCCTTCATCCAGCAGGTCAGTCCTGGTTCTTCTTTATCTGTGTGTGTGTGTGTGTGTGTGTGTGTGTGTGTGTGTGTGTTGGTTGAGGCCAAGCAGTTGTGTTACTTAAATGTTCATCTGTGTTTGTTTGCTGCTGCAGATTCAATGATGAAGAGATGAATAAGTTAAGTGTGGATGAGTTTAATGTTCCTGCCTGTTCTGAAACTGGTGTGTGTGTGCATAAATTACACTCAGTAAAAAGTCCTTGGTGTGTTTCAGGAGTAAATCAGTGTGAACTCACAGAAAATGTTGGGAGGTGAAATGAAAACATTTACTATGGAGATGAAGTGAGTGCATGAAGGAGAAAGCTGGGTGAAATAAGTGAGTTTACTTTATGAAAGGAGATGAATCTCCTTCCATTTAATTTCCACTATGTTACCTCAGAAGTCAGATTAGCAGCTGAAAAACTTTTCATCTAAATAAAACTCAGCATTTTTTCTAGTGGTGGTGATTGTTGAGAGTGCAGATTTTGGTCTGAATGCATTTCTGAAACCTAAACAGATGCAACAACGAAGTTTGCTGTCTTTAAGTTCTGGACATCAGAGATGTAAAATAAACCTTTAGAACGTCGTTCTTGGCTAATTATGCATTTAATTTTAAATTCTTCAGTTTTCTCAGCCACAAGTGGAAGTTCAGACTAATGCAATTAATGAGAAACATTAGGAAGTGAGCCGGCTGGTGCGGGAGGAAAGTTTGAGTCGGAGGAATTAGTGTTCATCGTGCAGAACTGAGTTTACATCAGGAACAAATGAGGATGTGTAATTAAAACACAGAGAGCAGAAAAAGAGAAGTCTGAATGCATGGGGGCGAGACAGGAGATGGAACAGGTGTGCACACCTGTGTGTGTGTGTGTGTGTGTGTGTGTGTGTGTGTGTGTGTGTGTGTGTGTGTGTGTGTGTGTGTGTGTGTGTGTGTGTGTGTGTGTGTGTGTGTGTGTGTGTGGTGGGGGAACCTGTATGAGAGGACTTGAACTATTGAGACAAAAATGTGAATGAGCTGAGATTTCAGGTGACCAAAGCAGGCTGATGTATTTGTTTCAATCATTAAATGAGGAACTGAAAACTTCTAGCTGGAAACACACACCGCTCTGTCTTCGCATAGTGTTGATGCTCGTAACGAAAGTTTCTGAAACAGAGTGGGAGGTTTTAGAACATAAACACAAATGGCTTGTGTGTGTGTGTGTGTGTGTGTGTGTGTGTGTGTGTGTGTGTGTGTGTGTGTGTGTGTGTGTGTGTGTGTGCGTGTGTGTGTGTGTGCGTGACATTCATTAGCAACAGGACATGTTGGTGTAGGAGGGTGAGATCAAACTGAATGAAAGTCTCACTTCTCAGTAACGTCATGGAAATCTGTTAAAAGCTTTTTCAACACACACACACACACACACACACACACACACACACACACACAACAAAGCACACACGCTGCAGATCCTCCTGCCTGAACTTATTTTGAACTCGTTCCAGTCATTTAAGCAGCAGGAGTTTTCAGCCCTCAGTGAAGTGAATCTCTCTGAACACTCAGATTATAATCTGTACACTGAAATTATAATGAACAATCTATTTAGGTCTTTAAAGTTCTATGATTGTCCCAGAACATCAAAACACTCCTGTTGTGGGGGCGGAGGTATCTGGAGGTCTGTTACAACTTGTTTAGGGATTAAATAACTGAGCATTTTAATTTCTGGGTCAGATTTAATGTGGGTTTTCATTAGTTTAGTGCTTCTAAAGAACTCTGTTTCATCTATTAGCAGGTGTAGTGTGGCTTTGTGCAACGCTAAACCAGTTTTCTTTCTGTAATCAGATTACGTCACACCAACAGACTCCACGACTCTTGATGGTTTATTTACACACTGCTGAAACTCTTAGATGTTTGCTAGTAAAATGTCAGCAAACAAGTGTCATGTGACTTGATGTGTGACCTTTATGAGTTTTGGAACTACAGACTGCTGTTACAGGAGCAACAAAGGGTTAAAGCTGTTCTTTCAAACAACCCAATGGACAGTTGGTGTCATACTGGTTTATCACGTAACATACCATGTGGATTTATAAAGCACGTTTAAAAACCGCTGTCCAAAGTGTTAAAAGAAAAGGTGGGCGGACCCCTGAAATAAAAGATAAAAATTCAGATAAAAGAAATGAAAATATGTAAAAGAGTTAAAAGAACATACTAGTGTAAAAACAAGGCCACAACTGAAAGGTTAGCCCATGTCAGCAGGGAAACGTCACAGAGGAAAACACTAGATGTCCTATCATAACTCAAAAGCTAAATGATAACGAAAGACCTTGAGCACCGACTTGAGCCGACATAGTGAAGGGGTCTGTCGTACACTGAGGGGGAGTGCGTTCCAGAGTTTAAGGGCAGCGAATGCAAAGGCCCGCGTATCTCATCTTTGGGATGCCCAGGAGCAGCTGGTCTGCCGATCTCAGAGTTCTGGGAAGAGTTTAAAATTTGATCAGTTCTGATAGATAGGCAGAGCTGGACCATTCAGGGCTTTAAAAACAAAAGTTAAAACCTTAAACTGGGCGCAGTATTTAACAGGCGTCTGGAGGTGTTTGTCAGACAGAAAGTAAGTCAACACAAGAGATCAGGAGTGAAGTGTGGTCAGCTACTATGTCTTCATCTGGACCCTTATGTGATGCTTGAGATCCAATCAGAACAGGTCTAGTTTTGACAGATTCGTGGAATCTCAATATTATCTTTGTGCTCTATAAGTATATGGATTGGTTCACTGAGCACAGCCATGTTGCTGTTGGATATGAGGCGATAGTGGCACAGGAAATACGTCCTCTTCTTGTAATCGGAGGGTTGTGGAATTGAGTCACGCTCAGTCTGTCACAGTTGTTTCCTTGGACATGACACTTAACCCTCACTGCTTGCTGTTGGTGCGATAGGTGATGCCAGTATGCAGCAGCCTCGCTTCCATCATTGTGCCCCAGGACAGCTGTGGCTTCAATGTAGATCATCACCACCAGTGTGTAAATGAGCAAATGACTGATTGTGTGCCTTGGGTGGTTGTTGTAGAACCGCAGAAGGCACAATACAATGACGGGCCATTTTTGCATTTACTATACCTGTGAAACCAGGTGTGCAGCCTTTAGAGGATATTATTGTTTGGTTTTCCAGTGTCTGTTTCAATTAGAAGAACCTTGTTTTCATTAAACGTGGAAAAAACAACGTTGTTGTTTAGAGATGACATCTGCAGTGTCTGCTGCCACCTGTAGGGGTGATACTTTATAGGAAATCTTTACAGGTCACATCTGAGTGTACAAAACAACACATTTGGTGGAAAACAGACCTTCAGACAAGACTGTTCCCACTTTGGAGCTAAGCAATAAGAGCAACATTCCACTGTTAGACAATCATGAAAACATGGGAATGTTACCAAAAGTAAAAAAAAAAGTTTTCTTGTTTCATTCAGGATCAACATTTAGTCCAGGGCTTGGACTGAAACTGTTCTTCAGGTTAAGGTGTTTAGAACGTGTTTCATTGTTCTATGGCGCCCCCATGAGGACAGATGGCCCATTATTCTCCCAGGAATCGTGTCGTTTTGTTGCACACAGCAGTGTTTTGGTTCTGATTCTGATAAAAACCTCGCAGGGCCGACGGTGAGACGTTCAGAGTGCTCCTCCTGTTTCTCTCTGTTAGCGCCTCGGCATGAATCACAATCAGCTTTCACTGTGAATCTTTATTGACTGTGTGTGAAGCCAGGCAGGGAAATTAACACACACACACACACACACACACACACACACACACACACACACACACACACACACACACACACACACACACACACACACACACACACACACACACACACACACTGTCTGTTGCGTGTTGGTGAGAATATTTGTCATCGGTTGCTGATCTCAGACTCTTCTATTTGTTTCCTCATTGTCTCAGCTACATTTCCTCTTTTCCTCTACTGTGTTTCGCTCTCCTTCCTCCTCTTTTGTCCTTGAGTCATAATAACAATAACCCTCATGAGAGGATGAAGTTTGGAAGGGGAGGAGGTGTGAAGCTCTTTGTCTGCAGGAAGAACTTTGACTGACAGGAACCCGTTACGCTGCTGAGCAGGGATGATTGACACACGTGTGTGTGTGTGTGTGTGTGTGTGTGTGTGTGTGTGTGTGTGTACTTTACACCACCGCAGGGTAAATACCTTCTAACAGCAAATAAAAATGACCCCAATGAACAAACTCAGACACTTTCTCTCCTTGTGTCTCTGCTCCACTAAAGCGTGCAGAAACCTTGTTCATGTGCTCATTTAAAGGCACATTTCATCTTTATCAACTTAATCTTCATCTTTATCACTTAAACTGTGTGACACATCCTGTTCAGAATTTTGACAACTAAAATGAAAGAAACCGAGATTATTGTTGACTTTATTCAAATACTGCTGAGGACTTTTGGTAAATTCTGCATCATTGGTCCGGTTTAACTGGAGACCTGCTGGGAGAGCAGTGCATGCCCAACCTTCACTAAAACATTGATAGTGGAGAATAGTTAAAGACAAAAACGTGGAAACAAACGCAAATGTTCAGTTGTAAACCCACAGAATTGGCTCATGAAAAACTTTGGAGTCAGGTTTTGTATCTGAAATGATTCCGTATTCCATAACTTAAACAATTTGGTCTCCAACTCCTCATAAATCTGGCTTAAAGTTTAGTTGTGTATAAGGATGTAAACACCGACTACGTAGGTTTAGTCATGATTGACTTGCTCGGTCTGAACTAACAGCAGGTTTGTTTAGTGTAAGACTGGAGGAGGGCACAGAGATGATGAGTAAAATCAGTTTCATCACAACCTGTTGTGAATGGAGAGCTTTTGCGTGATGGCAAGTTGTGTCAATTACGTTTTTGATTAATAAAAATAAAAAGCAATTATCTGACATCTTCTATTTATCAATGAAAACAAATCAATATGAAATAATTGTGATGCATCGTGATATTGAATGGAATTGTTGACCTAATATC